GCACAACCGCTACTACACGATCTATAAATGGTGATCATGGCCTCAATAAACGGGCTCACGTTACAATTGACGATTATCACTTTGCGGAGTAAAGAGAGATTTATTCCAACATAAAATCATCCTTCATTTTTCCGTATTCTTCCCCAGGTTCTCCAGAGACTCTGGAGCTAAAAGAAATGAGACGATCGATAAAATCTCTTATCCGTCTTTGTTCTGCGGACAACGAACAAGCGCAGGCAAATATCGAATTGTTGAANAAGCAGCACAAGCAAGGCGACTCGCTCGCGTACAAACAGCAGAGGTTGGAGCAGTTGTTATTGAACAACGACTTACCATGGCTGAGTAAGTTCAGGTGTTTGCTATTTGCTTGGTACGGAATAAATGGATACGTTATCGGAAGTCATTACTTAAATAATCAAACACATCGTACAACAGAGAGAGTTATAATACATTCTTCCCCGTTTATTGGTTTGAGAACATTCGTTAGTAAACAAGCTCGTCTTTGGCGCTATACCAGCTGGCTGAATACAGTAAAATTTACAACAGATTAGGCAGACGGTAAGAGGAGCCGCATATCTGGAAAGGAAATCAGAGTTCAGAAAGAAATGTTGCAATTCGGATAATTTGCATAATTGGCGTTTGTGTAACGCCGAATGACCGGATGTCTGTTTTACCTAACTATCGTATTTTACGGATAGCTGTACTATTGACTTCATCTCTTTTTCATTCTTAATCACACAAAGAATGCAGATTTCAGCCATAGGAGAATTCAGTGATTGGGAGTTGTGCTATGCATATACGCGAGTCAACCTTTCGGAATGTAGTCCTTTCTTCAATTACTAGGGTCTAGAATCTAGTTGAACAACACCGGTGCTTGAGGTGGGTACGATGATGTAGGCTCAATGAAAGCTAATAAAGTCAAAGTTTTGGTTTTATATCCTAAACTCCCATCAAGAGTTTGGTTGCGAAACCTCAAGCAAAACGAATCAAAGCATTTTTCATGGTTTGCTTGGCTTAATCTTTTTACTCTCTCCGCGAGGCAGTCATCAGAACCGTGAAAACCAAAGTACCTTATCGATGTTGATGAAAAATGATCTGAAACGTACATTATCTCGTTTAACTTGAGTTCTCTTTTGTTTTGATTAATTTACTCTTTATATTTATGCCTATTCTATCTGTTTTCACTGGTTCTCTTTTTGAAAAATGAAGTAGCAGTAAAATAATGGGTTAAGGGTTTTGAATGCGGATAGCTGACCGCAACAAGATGTTCGGCTATCGTTCTACTAACTCCTTATTTTTGGCAGTTACTCTAGTGTATCGAGTGGAAGGTATCGGTTATTACCGTCCGGAAATCCATGTAATCACGCTGTATGAGGGAGCAATTAGTAAGCTGAACAGCTGGTTCGTTTACATCAACCACAATCTATTCTTGTCTTTCCGTCTGTTGTGTTTTTCCCCAAGTTTGTTTCCTCTGAAACTCTATCCATATGGCGTGAAAAAGAACGACCTTCGTCGAACAGTTCACTCGTCTCATTTGAATTCGAAATATTTGGCCCTCAGGTTTGACCAGGAACATAGACAAATGTGAAACGTCGCGGTCTTCATCGTTGTCTGTTACCATTCATCTGTGCTGCGAGCGGAGAGGGGCGGGGGGGGGGGGGGNCATCGTAAATTCGGCAATTCTAGAGTTTATTTTGTTCTACAAGTGTTTGCGTGTGCCTCAAACAAGACAAAAACAATATTTGCACATAAACACGATCCTGGAAACATTTTTTCACAGTACAACTCAGATGATAATTTATTTATTTGACAGTAGTCATTATTTATAAATCATTTAATACGGAAAAAGGAAACTAAAAATATAAAGAATGAGATAGGCTATTAGTTTTGTAAAACAGCTGTCACAGGTAAGTTAGGTTACCTCGGAAACATCAGCGTTCCGGTTGCATTAGGTATCTTGAAAAATGTGAATCTCAATGTTAAAAGGCCGCGGTCCCCGTTTATTGAATTGTGTGACCGACTGATAAAAGATCTTTTTTTCATTGAACCGGGCGCACCGTCCCTGTAAAACGCTTTGCGCCCCACGTTCAACAACGGATGCAAAAAATGAAGTTAAATATGAAATTATATGAATGCTTGAGATTTTTATTTCGTACTTTAAAATACTTGATGATATTGGGTGTACAAATATCGCATTCTGAGGGCTTTCGGTGACATGATGGGGAGTAAGCTGGCTTGGTTTCCTCCCAATTTAATCAACTATCTTATTGCTCGTGTGACAAATATATAAAATGTTCTGCACGGATATTAATATATGGCTTCTAAACAACCGTTTATCTGTTTATGGGGCAAGGGATTTAAACAGTCACCATGCAACAACATTCGAGCACCTGACATATTCAGCAAATGTGACCTATCGATAAGAGACACTGTGCATCGCTTTTTTCTTTTAGAGAACGGCTATTTGCACGCAGGACACCACAACAAATTTCGTCATCGCTCACCTGATATTTTCACCGATCGAGTAATGCTTCAGAGGCATCGGTAGCTGAATACAAAAAACAGATAAGAAAAATATTAACTATGCCAGGCAGTCGAAGATATTACAAACTTATGTATTTCCATTTTGGTTAGATGAATGCGGAGTAGTGTCTTATGGGTGAAATTAATTCAGATACGCAATGAGCTGATTAGTGGTGAGTCCCAGAAGCAGTGATGTTCTCGCTTCTAGCGCACTACTCCAATGGGTATAGTTCTTGTATACCCAGCAGAACTCGTCTTCCATTTTGTCGTTTCTCCTCTGTAACAGCACTCACATACCTCATTACTTTTTTCAGAAATTTAGTTTTCCCACTTTCTTTAAAGTGTCCTTAGTAATGCTCAGTATTTCCTTCCTACTCTTTTTCATCACATGAATTGTCATAAAACAGAAAGATGCCATAATAACACAAAAAATAGTAATGTGAAAGTCCTGCTGAAATTTTTCATTGTGACTTCCTTAAAGGAAACTGTATTTTGAGATTAATGGAGGATTTGGTTTGCTCAACGGATAATTCTCTTGGTGTACAGGATAAATGAAGCGTGAACTAAAGAGCCAGTAATCGCTGAATACCTGTTTCGACCTGGTTGGGCCTCATCAGCAGTGCAAATCTATCGACCCAATTGGGAGCCGAATAGCTGAAAAATCACCCTGCGGGTGCATAAAGCTTACTTTGACTTGACTGACTGAAAACGCTACCTTACAGGCATGGTACGAGCGTACTACCTACCCGGTCACCAAGTCGGAACAGTTCTTCACTGATTCCTGGCTTTTGTGTTCACGCTTCATTTACTCTGTACACGAAGAAATTTACCCTAATATTATATTTCTTTGATAGTTGCAGTGATTGTGCACAGTGAAAAGAGTACGTAACACTGAAATGTGGTTCATCACTCTCTTTTAACACAGCAAGTTTATATAAAATGAAAATATTCGTTTTCCAACGAGTGCTTGACGAGAAGATAGTCAGATGGGCTTCCTCGGGAGAGACTATTTGAGATGTTTGATCGCATAGAGATGTCTCAATTTGAACGGAAAAGTTGGTTAGCCACAATCTGAGACGTAAAACCCCAACCCTACGGAGGCTTTCGGAACCAAAGCGGTTGCAACTTTGAGTTTGTGGTAAATTCAAGATATTTACAACTCTAGAGTCCGTTAACCCAGGTCATTTGGTTGTTCGTTCCAATGGAGGGTTCAATATATTCGAACTTTTTCGTGCTCATTTTAACTACTGACTTCTGTTTATAATCCAAATTTGAGATCACAGCCAATTTCTAGCGAAAACGTGACCCGCAACTATTCAGAGGGCATATTTACATGAGCGTCACACCACGGCTTATGTCAATCAGAAAAATGGTTTTCAACAACAGGATCACATCGATCATCCGATTTAAATCTGTAACTTAGTATACAGAAATTTTCTAGCTTTTATAAGGGTGCGGTTAACTCTTGTTATGGAGAATCACCAACAGGAGATTGATTAAACAAAAATGAGAGTATCATTAGGTTCACAGGTAAAATCTCACCGTTACGCAATCAGAGGCGCCTGTGGGGAGTAAAATTCTTTATGAACAAGGGAAATTTCTTGGGGTAGTGGTTCCACTCGGATGCGCAAGAGTGCTGTTGATTGTTGAAAATACGTGAGAGTTCGAGCAAGCCTTACTGATCATGCCGAACTTTAGTTCTTTATTCATGTCGGTGACACAAATCCCTGCCCATGATACCCTGACTGTCATTATTTGTATCACCAAGGAAATGCGTTCTATCGTACTAAATTGTATCATTACTTTCATGTTGTAAAGTTATGCAATGCAGAAATGTTTGATGTTTAGTAAATTGACCGATAATGATGTAGTTTAGTAACGTGTTTCAGAATCAGGTTATTTAAATTAGTTAAATAAAACAATCTAATAAATCGAAAAAATCCTCTCTTTTATGTTCTATTAGATAGCCATACTGAAACGCATTGCTCCCACTGGCCTTGTTTGTGGAGCCAAAACCATGGTCCACATACCAGCTTCGCCATGTGTTCCGGTCCTTGGAATGCAACCATATCGAAATATATCTGCACACGTGTACAGCTTTTTGTTTGCTATAGGCACAAAATATGTTCAGTTTCCAGATTACCGTAGTGTCGAGGTGTGTGGACCTTTGTCTCCAGTATTGTTCTTTTTTGGATTCTTAAGCATTTTCAAAATAGAGAAACAGCAAACAATTCACTCTCATCTGCTTGTTGAGATATATAGATTTGTGATTTTCGGGTGGAACACTTTGTGCTTAAATGTATGCTCTCTAATCAGGTAATAACTAGAATGCATAAATCACTATCTCCTTGCTGCTATAGATTGATAGATTGATACAAAATCTCGAGAAACACTTTATGTCCATGTTAATTTTTGTGTAAGACCAAATAATTAAACATATGAGTGTGGAAAAATGAATTGGCTCTGGTAACGTACACTCGGCAGTTTTATGGTTGAAATTGAACACGTTACCCTTGGTCCAACCGTCTGCTTGCACATCGATATTGGAGCACAGTATTTAACATTTATTAAATAGGGTTTACTGGCGGGTGGCAAGATAATGATAGTAATTATGATAAACTAAAACTTCGCGCCCTGAAAAATTAAAAGAAGTGTTAGATCTGCAAAATTATATTGCACTTAGCTCAAACAATCTATATTTGCACGCAACACCGCAAATATGACGACGTGTCCCGTTAGGATCTCGGTATTACAAACAAAAAATGAATTGATACTTTTAGAGTATCTCTAATCTCTTGTTTTAACTTTGGTGTGAGTGGAAAACCCCTTAGGAAGTATAAAAATCTGTATCATTGCGGCCTTAGGACCTGAAGGTTCATCCCTGTATTACTGAACACTTGGATTAATCATGGTGGATTTGAATGTACAAAGTATCTACAACGAACGTAGTAAATCAGTTCATCTGTAGCTGTTTCACGTCACACCCATAGCTTTTACTCCGGATTACTAGCAGTTTCCAAAAAGAAATTATTCTTATTTTACCCGTCTGAGTGATGACCGTTTCAATGCCATATCAACTAAAATATTAAAACAAGCCGGTAGGTTTTGACATGATTGATGACATAAGATCACGCTTGTAAAGCTTTTCTGAGTTTATTAAACCTTTACATTACTTTGCAATTTCATCATTTTAGATTGTGTCTAAAACTCGCTGAGTTGCATTCGGTGGAGCTTCGCCACTTGGTCGGAGACCATCGACATGTTCTTCTACGCGATCGAGTCGATAGGCGTCACGAGGACATTACGGATCCAGCAAAACACGAGGGGGCTACAGCTCAATCGGCCGCAGAGCATCAGTCTAGGGCGCTCGCAGCACTGAAAGAAACCATTTCACAGGTGACTGCAGTTGCTGGACGTGGCGTGGTCGATACGCGCCGGCCGGGTACAATCGGTTTGTTACGTTCGATTGGAGGAGGCGAACTGAGTCGTGCTCGCCGCGAAGCAGTTCGGCTTGAGGCTGAAGCTCTAGTTCAGTTGGCTTCATTATATTTATCGATCGGCGATGTTTCCAGCTGCGAACAGGAAACATTGAAACTAGCTCAGCTGGAAGTAAGATTTCAAAGGATCGAACTGGTTTGTCTGCTTTCGGTTGCACAATTTGAAATTTCTTCGTGATATATCTCGAGCTGTATGCACTACACCGACAAATATAGAAAGCGGCAATATATCAATATAAATTTCTGATAATACAAAAGAAACAATACCACATCAGATATTACAATGCTTTAATCATATTATGCAATTTTGTCGGTAGTGTTATCTACTCTGGATCTTCTGATTTATCTTGGAAGTTCCAGTTTCAGTTTTTGCAACCATTGGGCAATTTCTTTCGCCAATTTTGGTTGCTATCTTTTTGCCGCCAATTTCGACAAAACAGTAAAATGAAGATTGGAATGCTGAGAGGAAATTCAAATTACGCATGTCCATCACTCTGCTTCATAGCTTCAATCTCTTCACTCCTGAAAATAGTGTAATTGTTTGTCCGCGACGGCGGATTCTATGTTCTTTCTTAAAGAAAATGAACACTTTTTATGCATTACCGGTGTTCTGAATATTGGCTTAGGAAGAACTGGATGCAAGCCGGAAACCATCGTCTTTTACCGGAACTAACTCCTCTGAGATGTCACTTGATCAGACGACAGTGGAAGAAAAAAGTCAGTTTGTGATCCATCCAGTAGGCGATACCCTGGACATTCTGGCCAATGTTAGACCGGCTGCTTCGATAATGGCTGATCTGATGTATGCCAAGCACGACTTTGAGACAGCATCCAAACATCTGGAGAGTATTTTAGTAAAGCATCCCAGTAAGTGATCAGTGAATGTGGTATAAAGTTAGGCAAAGTAAACTATTCATGTATTCAGAAAACAAGGCCTTTGTTTTTGAAACATGTTTACTGTTCACTAAAAGAGAGATGTTTCAATGTTTTCCATTATCTGATTGTGAAATAATCGAGATCAGTAATTTCGTGCTGCGGTTTTGGTTTCTGTCATTTGACTGCCCATTTTTATGAGTATGGAAGGAAGATTTAAATGTTCAAAGTAGTGTAAAGATAAAAAAAGTGAATTCGTGTATAATAAAGTTGTAAGGAAAATGAGTGGATGCATGAGTGTCTCCGTTTGCGAAAGTTAGCTATATCACTTAGTGTCTCACAATATTCCTGGGGTTTACATATAGAAAGCCTAACGCGATTCATATGCGCATGTTTCCTGGTCATGGTTTACATACATTCATGGTAAGTTTTAGTTTTACCACTCCTGAATTTCTTCCATCCATCGTCTTCCTTGGCAAACAGCGCGCGCCGTGTCAACTTACTTGGTGACATGCGCAACACATGCAAAATCCATTGAAGTCCAGCTTTCTCTCTCTATTAGAAGAATTAGACAAAGTTGGATATCTTTAGCCGCTGTATCTCACCTGATGAACGCAGCGTTAGTGAAGTGTCGACACGCATGTAGAAGGCTCGATTGACACTTGCCCACTTGTGACACCAGGGGCGCCGTCGCGACATCCGGCTGTTTGTTATGGGTCTAGTGTGTGCTACAGTATTTCGGCCAGAGCTGCTATGCAGCGCAGAAGCTTGGCCATAAGGAAAACAGCATACACTGTAGGTGTTTGTACACTACCGTACATGCTGCATTGCACGAGTCTGTTGGGGCAACCGAACAAGCAATTTTGAAGTTAGGTGCAGCTATTTTGGCAACCAAGGTCCACCACTGGAGCAAGTGGTCACCCTCTGTAGGTTACGCTGGTTGAGGCGTGTTGCGGTTGCCATCATATAGGTTTGTAGAGGTAGGTATGGGATAGAAAAAACAAGGGCCGTTAAACTAAGACATTACATGGGGGTATGAGAGCCCTGAATCAGAAATCTCTTCAATAGATCGCTTTGCGCTCCCTGAATGGGAACATGTGGATCTTTATAACCGGTGGTTTAAAACACTGATCTATAGGGCTGAGTGACGTAAACAGTGGCGCTTGTGCATCTACCCATTATTCCTGCAATATTGGTCTAGGCGAATTCTCTGTTTTCTTTGACTTTGCTCCCAACATTCCAATCATCCTCTTTTTGTCCAAATGAAAAGTCAAAGAAGCAACTGCTTCGGGAAGGACCTTGGTTATTGACCGTAAAAACGGAACTGAACTATATTCATTTCCCAAAAAGACCTCCATTTCAGATATAGAAGTGATATTAAATGATAGTATTTACCCAGTCAAATTGAGGGTTTACAGGTGTGGTGTCACTGGGTGCCAGTTGAAGTGGGTCTTGAAATGCTCAGCGCATCGTTCAAGACAGTGTTGCTGAATATGAAGCAATGTACCATTGAAATTCTTAATTAAATTGCTTTCACTTACTGTCATCGGGTCCGTAGTCCTACCTAGAAAGAACATCTACCAACGGCTACAAGTAGCGTCAGCCTCTCCATCTTTCTAGATTTTCTACCTACCACTTCCCACGGTAATTTATCGGGATCTTGATGGGCTGTTTCAGTTGTTTGCCAGCTGCATCTTATTTGGATCCGAAGCAATGATTCAGCGACCATCCAGCAAGATAGATGAGATCAAGGTTATTCATAATTTATTCTGTACTCGTGCACCAGACTCCGTCGTTATTTTAATTGATATTCGGATTGGTTCCCTGAAAAGCGTCCAGTGTGCATGCAGTCTTGCGGTTGAATCATTGAGCTTACAGACAGTAACGGGCTCTCTTTCGAAAGCTGGTTTGCAGCTATCGTGTGCATCGCATTGCGTATATCCGTTTTTGTCGGCTTTGTTGCTGTTATTTACCAGGCACAGGGAGAATCTGATTCGTAACCAAGGTTGATATATGCCCAGGTAGATTTTAGGTCATTAATCTGATGAAGTTGGCGGTTTCCATGACGGGCGGTATCAGAGAGAGGGCTTTTCAAATGGATACCTGAGACTTTGCTACACGCGTTAGCTCAAATCAACGAAGTGGTTTGATTCAACTGTCTGACATGTGAGAGTTTACGGGATTTGCTTTAAGAATCCTGAACGGATCCTTTAACTCAAACGTTTGATGCACCAGGCAATGGGGAGTAAATCCAAAGAGGGCGTGTTAGAGAGTCACTCACTAGGGAGCTTCTGGAGGCCTGTCGTGCAAGACGTTTTGGCTTTGGTTCAGTGTATTGCTCACTGGTGTGTTGATTGATGGTCCGCTGTTTGGGTCGGCCCTTAATCTCATGAACCCAAAAAGACAGGAAAAACGTAAACAGGACATCACCTTATTGGCTACGAGCCGACCCGTATAGGCGGATGAGAGTCATCTAATAATGTGCGAAGACCTATATCATCGTGCGAAGGAAGTCTCAAGAACCACGCCCGTGCGTCTATCTAGCGTTTTCCACTAGTGTATCCCTTCTCCCTATGCTGGATTTGAAGGTGAGCATAGAACCTCTGCATTGTCTGCATGTTTCAGTACTTAGCCGATAGAAAAGTTTTTTCTTTTAGCTAATGGTTTTCTCAATAGCGTATTTCAGTCTCCCCAAACAAGTGAATCATGCTAATATTTTCTGGTGTATTTTACATTTACAAGTTCTAGGGAATTTCCTATTTTACTGAAACTGTGCTGTGTTCGGCTTTGCAATTGTTCAAAACACGCGATATAAAAATAAAACTCATTATATTCCCTAAAATGTGTAACATGCCAGTTTTAGACCGAAGTTTGGATTGTTGGTTGTGTCCACTGAACAATTGAAGAACAAAAGATGCACGATTTGTATGAACATGATTGAAATTCTGTGTATGATAACCAACGAAGGCAGTTTTTTTGTCCCCGTTGGGATATATCAACAGTGTGTTCAATGCATGTTTCCGTGAAGAGACTCGATTCACGAAAGTTCGGGGAGGAAGTCGACCGGTTCTTCCGTCACCCCCTCCTCCGCAGAATAACATGTATTCAAAAACGATGGATTACTCAATCTAGTTTAATGAACAGTTAAGAAATGTATGGGAAATGATGCTGAGTAAATAAATATGCAAGTATGGGGAAAAATGATAGGTGTACTTAGCTGAAATAATTAAAACCTGTTATCAGTAGTCCTCACATGCTCATTAGAACGCTCGGATAGGCTGAGAGGGGAACGAACCCAAAGCAAGATTATTGGCGTTTTGAACCATCCCATCCTTCTAGGACAGCCATTTCTAGTTGTACAGACTTTGGGACTCCCGCAGGATTAATCTAAACATTTATTTTCTGATTTAATACAGTGAGCTTGGTGCAAAATTTCTCTTGTAACATTTGTTGCAACTTCCGATTTCGTACTGTGAATTCTGCACATTCGTTTAGATCCAACAGACATGCGACGAAAGTGGCTTCCAATGAACTAAATAGAGTGATTTTTCTATCAACATAGATTTCATATATTTCTTCATGTTTGAGTCGTACGTGACATTCCTAGACTTAAAACAATTTGTGCGAGTATGGTGCCTTTTTTAGGCATTGAAAAGGGGTTAGCAACCATAACACAAAATTAAAATTACATTTACAATGAGCCCATATTTAAGGCAAAAAAATGACCAAATAAACCACGCAACTTTATAATAAAGCACTCAAAGCTAAACACGAACGACCGGGATTTTTGCAGTAACTGATATCTAATTGGAGTTTGTCTTTCACGATTCACCTCGGTTTTATGTATTAGCTTCGTTTATTCTCTCAATTTATTGTTCTCCTTAGCCGATTATTCGACCCTGGCAAAACTGGTGGATGCTTTGCGGAGATGTGGAAATTTGAATAAAATACCAGTCTTTTTGGATCGAACAAAGGCGGCGGATCCCATGGGAGAAACATCCCCCGGGTACAACTTTTGTCGTGGTCTCTATCATCGGTGAGTTGCCTCCACCTAACCCTAAATATTACTATCCAGCTACAGCAGTTTGAGGTTTTACCGAATCACTTTTGTGTGCTTTTTCCGGACTGAATTAGATAAGTTGCATGAGAAAATGCTGATTGAAAAGATTCATTAATTATCTAATGTCTTTAAGCCTGGAACTCCGGAAGAATGTTTATTGCATATGATTACCTATGTGTTGTTTCTTTAAGCTGTATAAGGAATAATTTAAATTAAATTAAAATTCTTGGTGATACCTTTATACTTCCTGTCATTCCTGAATACTGCTTTATTAAAATGAAACAAGCCCCCTTCGGTCTGCACTCAGTGTATTTGTTGTCTGTTCAAACAAAACCCATACATCTTCGCATCATTTGAACTTTTTCATCTCCCTAGGCTAAATTCCTTTCCAGCTTTTAAGTAGTGAAGGAAAAATCAAATAGCACTTCTACGGATTAAACCAAAAGGAATTTTCCACTCGATAGAAATGCCTGTAAGTCAATTTCTTTAAAGCTATGAGTGCTAATGCACTTTATTGTGTGACCAGCTAGAAAGCTTTATTTAGGAGGACCGCCAAAATGCCCAAATGTTTTACTGGCCATTTAATTTGAATTATGTGGATAGCATCATGCTCTATATGCTATTTAGTTGCTCGCTTCCACCAACCAAACATCATTGAAGTCAGAAAGGGTAGCGGGACTAGTCATTTCAATACACGGATATTCAAACGAGTACTGCTCTATACGGAGTGCTAAATACAACCCCAAATAAGTTGACTGGATTTACCATAGTACAAAAAGCCTCATCCTTAAGATAGATCTGCAAACTAGGACTCAGTTGGTTACGATGATGTTTGGTTAATGCTTATTACCTGTCAGCCCTCAAACGATATGAAAATCGGCGCTTAGTTGGGGTAGCGTTCTCGGATATCTCAGTCAAGTGGTAATTCAGATGACCTGGTTACCACAAAAATGAACGGTGATTATGAAGAACGGAAAACATTTTGAGTATTCTTTGCTTACTAAATAAAGTCTCATCAGGCATATGTTTAATAAAATCCGAAAGGTGAATATTTGGAAGCAAAGTAACCAAAGAAACAAGTAGGTAAGTACAATTATACCAGAATTGTAAGAGGCAAGGGAGGTATTCATTATCTTTGTGGAAAACGAATGACTTAAGTTTGTATGTCGTGTAAATATGAGGCGACAGAATTTCTGGAAAAATACCGCAACTTTTAGGTATACATGTTAAGAATACTGAATATAGGGAAAAGCTTCAAATACTTCGCGAGCTTCTCTGGAAAAATTGCAGGAGACCTATGCAGCCAATGGGACAAACTACAAGTGCAAATTAAAGAATGGGTTATTATTCGAGAGATTAATAAAGCTTTCAAACACATAAACCTAAGATTATAATATTCTGATTTTTCCTGCTGCAGAAATGACTTGATCAAACCAACTAAAACTGCGATTGATTGACTCACCAAGATACCAAATATTAATGGGTCGGTTAATGTTTCACCTTGTATGTTTGCTGTGGGACAGGATTCTAAAAGGTTGGTGTAACCGTCCCATCTGATAAGTAATAATAGCACGTCTAATCATTCAGGGAGATTGAGAGTTAAGTTGTGAGCATTTCACCAATCAGCAAGGCTGGAAAGACTATGTTGAAAGGTCATGGTGATAGAAGTATTAGAGTAGGCATTTCAAACAGAGCATGGTCTGTTTACTTTATAAGTAAAGAATTTTCCTGATTAAGTATGGTTGAAGGATAACTGTAAAAGAAAAACGGGAACAAGTTTTCACTTTGTAGTGTTGAGAGAAGATGTGTGTCCAAGTTATTACGTAAACTCCGAACGGATTGTGAAATTGTCTGTGATTGATGCAGTGATGGTGTGTGCCTAATGGAAGACAAAATATTTATCAACCTAAACTTATCAACACTATGGATGGTATCACTATAACACGGAAGGTATATTCTGACAGCTTTCTTGTTTCCATTTAGCTCTGGCAGAGAAGCTAGGGCATCCAGTATGGAACTAGCACAGCAGTACTCAAATTGGTTTCGATCATGCATGTTCACTTGAGGTAACACTCCTTGAAGGTGTAACTTATCGAATAGCTTCAACACGACCGACTTTTGAGGCATTGGGATGGAACATTGAGGTTCCTTTGTTTGGCACCGGAGTGATGGAGGCAGATATAGTTCCATTTTCCGAGCACTGGTTAAAAAGAGCTTAAGCATTAGCAAAACTGTGTGAGCCGACTCTACACTATCGACACATAGTGAGGTTTTGAGCTTCTAGTTTTGCAGAATGAAAAAGCTGGGTAGTCCTATTCGAGATTTTACGCTCTATGCACATTAATAATTTGAAGTTAATTTATTTCATTTAACGGCAACTTAATGTTTTCGGGTGGTCGCGGTATTAGCTATTGTACATCACAGTGAATTTGCAGAGTTCGTTAAAATAAAAATAAAATAAATCAACATAAGCTTTGCCAATGACGTAAGCAGTGACGTAAATAAACGGAAACACTAGCCTAATTGAAAAGACCGTGCGAGATGCGGTGAAACTCAGTTGTAATATGCAGACGCACTAGCAAACAACCGCTCGGACCGAGAGTGTATGATGCATATGCAGCTTTTGAACATTCATTGGGTGCTGGATGGTATTCGGGAAATGAAATTTTCATATGACTTTCGGTCTTTGTCACTAATTTGGTCTGCAAGTTTGTCGATAGTGATACCACTGCAATTGGAGATTTGCGAGAATCCTGTCAGGCAGTGAAAGCCTTTTTTCAACATATCAAGAGATTTACTTTATAACAGTACGACTGATGGGAAAAGGGGTAGACCGAAAGCCTTCACACATTTTACAATGAATTTGTGTTTAATATAAAGCGTTCACAATGCAAGTGAGATGTATGATAGCTTTAACACTGAACGGACTATCTATGGAATGTTTATGGATTATAACATATTGTGGGATACTGTAAAGCTGCATCTTTGAAACAGCAAGAGAGGACAGCATCGGTAGATTGGACGAATAGTGCCCAGGTAAACTTTGCTGCATCTCAATTGGTACAGTGCAATAATATCGAACAATGTCAACTTTTCGAGGCCATCATAATGATTTTTGTAGTCTGAGGACACCTATCTGAACCTTACAGTTCCTTTCCAAAGCTGAATTTGTTGAAAGAACAAGATGAGCAACTGTATCAAGTGTGGAGCTTGGAGACCGACAAGCGTATTGATGTACGTTTTATTATGTAGATTCTGTGACGATCCGCGGTGGCAAGTTTCTCTCAAATAATTCGAAAATGCCTGATTAGCAGGCTGTGGAACAGCACTTCCGAGTTCCTTTTTTGGGTCGGAATTTATTTTTGACATTATGCAAATGTCATGATTTTCTCATTTGAAAATGATAATTAGTGGTCATTTAGACAGCTGACGCAGGCGTATTTAAGTGATACATAAAGTGAGCGGAGCTTAGAATTGAGTTTTTCAACACTGAAGTCTTTCTTTTTTGTTTAATAATGCTACCACATCGGCATTTGCCAGTTCGTTTCATGTTAAAACAACTAAATTCACTCTCGATGATGTATATGCACAAGTTGCTCAGTTGTTTCATTTCAGACATGATCAACGTGGGGAGACTTTTCACTTGGGTTATCTCCCCAAGTTTGTATGCCAGTTCTTCCTTCATGTACCGTCGTTGAAATGACGGTAAATAGTATTTCTCCGGATAGATGAAAACAGTTTCAAGAGGAGATATAACTATTATTTTTGAAATGAAAGTAATGGGTAAGGTGCTTAGAGGGGACAGAGGGTTTTGGACTGATACATGGAAAAGCTTGCCATGGAAGTCAAAACTTTTAACTGTTTTCGGCTCTCCGTCATGCATTTCTTTAATTCACTGCAGACGTTTAGGATGTTATGGCCAGTGGCACTTAGAGGTATACGTTTCTGAACGGTAAGAGTTGTGATTTTCTTTACAACAACGTTTAGTGGTGTATGTGGTTAGGTAGGTAAATATAACAAATTTTCAAAACAAAGGTTGATGAAGAAGGCTACATCAGACGATTAAAACAGAAGGTTACACAAAGTTAGAAAAAGATTACAAAATGTATTCAGTTTAGATTTTAATTTGGTATATCTGGTAAATGTTTTCGAGAAGAATGGAACGAAATCCAGATATACTGATGCGAAAACCGATTTGATTCGTCCGGTATTTGTAGATCAAGACGCTGGAATTGCCCCAACTATTGCCAAAGTAACTACAACATCGCTCCTATTGCGGACAATTGTGGGGCGATCAACCCAATGAAAACAAAACAACCTGATCATAATAATTTCCCCAAGTAATTCTTTGTGCATCCAGAATTATTGCAGCAGATTTGTCACAGCATTTTGTACACATTGTTTTACGTAATATTCGCCACTTCGTTGATTTTGTCCAATAGAGAGCAAGTGTTGCTCGTTAGAACCATAAAAATTTGCTTAAAAGACTGTATTTTCATATTTCTTAAGAACAAAGGCACCGAAGAATCATTTTATAGCAGTACTGGTTTATTCTGCTCTCGAATCAGATTTCAAACTGTTTACTGGTCAAAATTTAGAACCTTTGTGCATGAACATACTTCTGTCTTTTCCCGCAGAAGCTGTATCTTTTCATAATGGTTAATGCCAGTCTTGGAAGAATCGAATCTTCACTGAAAGTTGATTATTATTTTCTTTCTTTGATTAAGATTGATCCCTATTCCGAATCGCACTTTTATGTACTTAAATACGGCCGCTTTTATCGTGGTCACATCTCAGTGGATATGACTTTTGAAAATATACGCACGAAGAACGATGCACTCTGACTTTCCACTGGAGACATTATACTCATTTTTTTCTAATGAGGTAATCATTTCCTCCGAAGATTTTCTAGTAGACCCAGTTTATGAAAACAGTCGAATGTCTTAGAGGGATCTAGTTGACTGGTTTTTTGAAATTATATTATTCCACCGTAATGCAAATTGCTAGCCATCATGCTGACCAGTTCTCAACCCCCTTCAGTTTAGAAATAGAAACATCGGCTGTATACAAACAGCTATTTGTGGTATCGGACAAACAGTTCTAGCTATTATTCCTACAGTTCATACCATGTAAGCTGACAAGTTTCACGTTAGTGATCAACATATGTAAACGAACTGCACGCATTTCATGATATGTTGCTTAGCTGTGTTCACCCTACGTGGATAAAAGTGACCCAGTGTTCTCAAAGCAAATTAAAGTTCAAATCCTTCAGTAACTGAACCAAGCAATATGTTCATCATTCTTCCGCTTATTTACCTCATAATCTAGAATTACTGGCGAATCAACTCTGGCACTGAAGTGCTTCAATCAATCTCGATTGGATTGCGGTTTGAATGAAGAAGCTATTTATCACATGGTCGAGATTGCTCTAAATCCGAACAATCAGTTGCCTACAGATGATTCGGATGACATAATGAACGACGGCGGGATGAATAATGCAAATTCAAATAGTCTACGCCACGTGTCCGCTTTCCCTCAGAATGGGTCGGTTAATCAGTCCGATAATGGAACAACCGCAACAAATGGATTACAGACAGCTGAACACTTGTTGAAAGTGAGTATAACCTAAGCTATAGAGGTTGGGTCGAATAGATGATCTTGTCAAAGAGACCTCAGTTTCAAGACAGCGTGTTCTATTGTTTATTGCCTGTCATCCAGTAGTTTTTCTCTGGTTGTCTTTGGATCGGACTCAAGGGATAGATGCCTCTTCTACGTTGTGTCTACTGTGTTCGTTCTAGATCGTTTGTTCAAATGGGACAATATCAGGTTATAAGAGATCATATAAGTTATCATTAAGTTTTTATTATTTACATAGGGGAACATTTCAGGAACGCTTGGCATTAATTATTCCGATTTGCTTTCCGAAACATCCATAGTTTTGAATTAAGCGGACTCCGATAAATTCTCTACGGTGTGACCTTGCAAATTACAGTAATCCTCAGTCGATAATACCCGCAATGAGAACATGTGCCAGATTTTCGTCAGGATGTTCTTAACACGTATCGATATAAATTATTGTGTAGAATAATCCTAAGACTAACTGACTCAGAGAACTTTTATTCAACATAAGACACTCTAATAGTTGACGGTATACAAATATCGTCTGAACAGATTCAGCTATATTGTGTATGTTACACACAGTGGAGTTTAATAAAAACGAAGACATGTTCAACTTTTAAAAAATAATGATTATTTTAGTTTATTTGATCGAGATTCAAAACTATTGACAATAGTTTTTGCGCTGCATGTTTATTTTACAAATTTAAAGGCTGATGAATGATTTGGTTTGCTCGTCTTGTTGTGAATTGAATGTATTTTTGTTAATGATTCACAAACTTAGAACAACAGGAGAATATTTGTGGTAAACAAAACCACACCCCGGAATTAGTAAACAAATTGGAAATGTGCAGAACAAATTCAGAAATACATTATTCTATCACTTCAGAAACAATTAATCAAATCTCATTATTTATTCTACTCAGTTGAGGCTGTGGATACACTGAGATCAGAAAGTTCAACCCCAGAGATATATTTACGGACAAAATACATCAGTGAACCTGTGCTTTATAGAGATCCGTATTATTTTTGATCTCCAGCCCTCTATTGGGTTGGGACCTTAAAACAGAGAGCTCACCGGGACCAAACGATCGATGAATATCTCAAAAGTAGAGACGTGTGTTTGGAAACCTGATCTTCAATGCACCACAAAGCAGTTTCCGTTCAGTTGATTCAACCATTAATCTTCCGTTTTCATGATCTGGTTTCAATTCCTGACTTTTGCCTACATATCTTGTCGAACAGTGACGAACCGAGTCGAGTAAAAAAGCACAGCACAGAATAATATGTTTGGATAATTTTTACGTATTACATTTCAAGACGATGAATTGTTACTGATACAAGAGCTGTAAATGCTATTATGTATGATGTTTGATATCTGGGGATTCTTCCCAGCCTGTTGAATTAACCGATTACTACTGTCATCTTTGAGTACGGCTAACATCGCTATCCCGTCAGTCATCAATGCATACGTTTGTGCACATCAATGTCCTATCATGTGGCATATATCCTACTTTACAGGTTATCCGAAATGCTCAGAGAGCTGTTTTACTAGGTGCAGACTAGATTTCAATAGCTAACTATAAGCAATTTTTTAACATACAAGGCATCATTTATTTTGTTGACGGTATTCCAAGGAACAGTTGCCTGGAGAGGTCTGATATGATTAAAAGTATGGACCCACCAGAAGTAAGTTGTACGAGCACATACCTCAACGGGTTAGATCCTTTGGACACGTTTTGTTGCAGTTTGTCAAACTCGGTGTATTTTGATGGATCTGTTCTATTTGCTGTTCCTGTTTGGCCTTATTGTTGATCTCTACTGTGCACGTCTGTGCTCCATCTGCGTGTACAGATCGTTCTCTGTTTTAGAACTGTCGATCTGATTTCTGCTGATTAAGCTGCTCTCCTCAATGAAAGCGCACTTACGGGGTAACTGTTCCAAACCTCTTTGTGAACGAGATGTTTTGTAGTGAATGTCTCTCGGATTCTCGAAAAGCGAAAATTTCATTCTAGGGTGTAGTCAATTTTGTCAATTAGCATTTTCAAATAGTCATTTGGTAGATTTGAAGTTTGTATGTCGATTGTGAAAAGTTCAGTAGCCTCGGTGGGATTCGAACCCACGCACGGACGCCGCCTACGCTTTGTACGCGCATGCTCTACCAGCTGAGCTACGAGGCCACACCGATAGCACTGATCTTTTCACATTCGAATTTACCCATCCTCTGTGAGTTGCCTCTGTAAGTTGGATGGGTAAATTCGAATGTGAAAAGATCAGTGCTATCGGTGTGGCCTCGTAGCTCAGCTGGTAGAGCATGCGCGTACAAAGCGTAGGCGGCGTCCGTGCGTGGGTTCGAATCCCACCGAGGCTACTGAACTTTTCACAATCGACATACAAACTTCAAATCTACCAAACGACTATTTGAACGATTCACCTTGTCTTAGAAGCTCATTCGGTGGAGTCCGGTGAGTCCTAATTCCATCGGTTTGTGTTTGTTGTTAGGCTTTTCACCCTATCTTATACAACAAACACCAGGCTAGAGTCCATCAACCTGAGGCGGATCTATTGAGTTACGGCCGTCTAAATTATTCATTTGCGTCTCTAGTGTCTCTAGTTTACCAAGCAATCCCTTGTTTCCAATGCACTACTCAAGTAACGTTTGCCAGTAAAGGCGAGCACCATATCTGGTTGTGCAGCAGTGGTTGTCATCGTATAAGGATGGTTATCAGAACAATGCTGAGGTTAGGTTCAGAGTTTTAGGTAACGGCGGTCGAACCCTGAGGCAACTGGTAGATTTCCACAGATTACTTTGGTTGGAGTTTGTGTGAAGCAGCAAATAAGTTACCACGGGCTGCAATGTTCAACGAGTAGTAGTAGTAGTGGTAGTAGTAGTAGTAGTAGCAGTGCGTAGATAAACACCAAGGGTAGTCAAACGAAAACCTGGCACGAGGGTAATAAACTTTAATCCGGAGACTCAATCACAAAGATCTCGATAGGCTCCCTGGATGGGGAATGCGAGAAGTAACCGGTTGTCAGGGGCACTGAGTAATATGGCTAAGTGTCGTCAACACTGACTTTTGTGCATCTCATTTACTTCGCAACCTTACTCTCCTGCTTCATCCAAATGGGAAGCCAAAAGAAAGAAACCAAAACACGTGCAGGAAAATGCATGGTTATGGGTTGTACAAACTGAAATTAGGACTATCAGAACATTCCGTATCCAGTGCTTCCTAAGGGAACGTATGCCTGCTAACTTCATTTCTTCCAAACTGCTTTAAATAATTTGTAAGCATAATGTGATAGACAGCTCTTTTGTTTCTCACACCACAAATACACAGTACAACGCATATGAATCACATAGTTGGCACTGTAGCTACGAATTTACACCACTCGATTACCCTCCCTAGTATTCGTAGATTAAATGGAAATGTTAATTATGTGCACCGCTTTCTCCAATCTTATCACTTGGCTACATTTTTGACCGAAACACAAACTTCTCCTTCGTCAGACATAACTCATCTTCAGTTCCCTAATTACTTCCTCCATTCTTCTTTTCTCCATAATGCTTTTTCTCGCTTGTACCCGTCATTCTGTTGCTTCTTCCTGATTTTCGCACCTCAATTTCTCCAACAGTCAATTCCAGCCTGTGTGGCTGAAATGCTTTCAACCACTGCTTTTTCAACGTTCATTGTTCCCGGAGTAGCAGTGAACCTTCCATTTTTGATTTTCTATCTCCCAACATTGAGACACCAATGGAAGAAGATCCTAACAGCCAAATTACCATTGTCGGAGATTTCAATCTCTACAACAAGGAATGGCTGATATACACCTCAAACCTGGCTTTCATGGGACGCGANGCGAAGTCGAGGCCTTTTGCTGTGGCGAGTAATCTGGGTCAACGAGTTGACCTCCGCACACGCATCCGTGATCGTATTCGTGACCGCGCCCGTTCACTTTTCTTTCTACACCATCACTTTTCTTTTCCCTTTCGGCTTATTAGACCATTTCCCTCGCTCTGTTTCCCCACCAAACTCCAGAACCACCTTTAGGCATTACGAATCCTGTCAATTTCCCATCGCTGAGCAGGTGCTTCGTTGCCCCTCTTCTATCATCTCCATTTTGGTTTCTGCTCTTGTGAACTCGCCTCAGCTTTTCCCTTCCCTTGATCTTTTCCCGTTCATCACGTTCTCAGTTGGGCGGTTTCCCTTATAAGGTTTTACTCTCCGGTGTCAAGCTTCTATCTTTCATTCTTCTTTTATCCCAAGGGCTGAAAAATCGTGAAACATCCTTCCCATCTTCATATTACCAAGCACTTATGAGGTTACTCTTTTCAGAACAGGATTAACAAATGGGTTCTCATTTGAATGCCTCCCCACATGCCTTCCTCCTTACAGTTTGGCACTGACTATGTGGTTTGCCCCTTTTGCTGTAAATTACTTTGTGTGCAATAAAAAATCACTGACCCATAGTAATGTTATCCATTGCTGTCGAGAACGAAGTTTACGGCAGCATTAGACAAAGTTGATCCTACTTTAATGACTGTCTTTTGAATGTTTTTACTTCCTATTTTATTGTTGTTTGGTTACAGAAATGTACAACAAACTTTCTGAAAGGGTGGGGTGACTACACAAAGGATACCTGCAGACATGCTTATAAGAGGTAGATGGACAGTGGGGCTGGGTAAAACGCACGACCCTCAGGTGGTTATTTCGACGACCTTACCATTCGATCACAAAATCTTGTGTTCGGAGGGTGGGGGGTAGCAGAAACACAGGTTGTGTTCAATTAGGCCATCAAATAAAACGGGAAATTCAATCACCAGAGCAACATCTTTAAATGACATGAGAAAATTTTCATTTTATACTCCACTTATATTAAAGGTCATTCTCACCAAGGAAACAATTATCAGCTTTTGAAATAAGCATCCTTGATGTGAACAGTTTGATCTTATTGATTCTAACATAAATAGAGTCACACCAAAGTCGGTCGGAATGCACCAACCATTCGTTAAATTTTGATCAAAAACTAATATAGTCCGAATCAAGTGAAGACTACCCACATGTTACCCTGTTTGTAATGAGACCATGGGAAATGTTTTGGAAAATTCGTTTATCTAGTGAGTTCACTTGCAAGGTTTCACAAATTGGAATAAAACGGTATAAAATTTATGAGTAAAATATCTTGACGGTTTGTTTCACCTTATTTCAATTTTTTGATGGGCTTTCGTGATGGAATTTTCTGTTACGAGCCATTTATTGAAAGTGGAGACGGAATGTGAAGATGATTTACTTTAATTATTGGCTTTTGAAGATAAACTAGTGATAAAAAAAATAAAAAACCCTTTTTCGCACAAAAGTGATACCCATATTTGGATGGTGTGAACGAGTGATTCGTTGAATTGGATTTTTCAATATTACTTTATTCTTCGTTAATAGTTTTTCTCAGTGCAGTTTCTGTGGGGTAAAGCACATGGGAAAAAGTACTACAAAACACATTGATATCAAATTCTTTACCAGTTTTTCTACCCCTTTTACTGATAATATGCTCTTGATATGTACATCGGGATCAACAAATTCAATGGTTGAAGACATTGAGTGATCTGGCTGAGTACTATGCTCGTGCATCTTATCCATTTGCATGAAACCCAAGTCCTCATGGGTTCTCTATTTTCGCCCCGGCACTAAAATGAGCATTTCACTCTTTCTTTTAATCCTTCAGGCAACTGGACAGTCATGAGGGAGTAACAAAAACCGATCCAGAAGTGCATGGTTATTGGTTATAAGGACTAAAAAACACTGAACTGAAGATGTCTGATATTGCTTTGACCATCTAAATTCGTTGGTGTTTCATTTAGTTATAGTTGAACGGAACGCCTAGCAAATCTCCTGCTAATACTATTATTATTGTAAAACATAAATGTCCTGTGATCCTATTTATAAGTGTGAAAATAAGTTTGATCAAACGTTCTATTTTATCCATTGTCTAATTGACTGGTTTATTGCACATACCATGAAAGTTATCCTTCAGTCGGGAGAACGTTCAAATTGTTTGGTAATGTCAGGCTAAGTTTACTGTAAAGATTGTTTTACGGAACATTCAGTCACCTTTGTTTGGCTATACGAAGATAATAGATGCCAAAACAGGGGTATGAAAATTTGCATACCAAACGCTGAACAACATGTTTGGTATCCGGCAGATGATTTATTGGATGCATTGCTTCATTCAGGTCTGTTGCAGCCAACGTACACTGGAACAGGTTGCGTGGGCACAATAAAATGAGACTGCTGCAAATATTGATTGAGTGCTGGCTCTGTGAACTATGGTGACGGTTAAAAAAACAACGTTTTATGCAGTCCACTTTTGATTTCTCTACTTTGGTCTTCCTCAAGATTGTGTTTCTTTCGTACCGTTGATTTCCTTTTCGTCTATCATATGTTGCGTTCTTTTGACAACTCCCGTTACTTGTCTATTTGCGGTCGGTTTTCACACACTGTGCATATGAACTCATTTTACCAAATATGACCGTTCACAGCGGAACCCCATCCAAATGAAGCGATTATCAAAAAATCTGACATGAATGTGTGACCCCCAACATATTACGACTCGCAACTGTTTTTATAACACAACTTGGTGTGATGAACACCAGATGCGATGGTCGACCGGTAACGCTGATCTCGGGACTGGAATTGGTGAACTACATAAGGCCCTGCTAGTTCAGTTGTGGTATAGAACCAGAAGAAAAGAAAAACTGCTTCAACCAAATTTGGGTGGCGGTGGTGGGGCTTGAATCTCAGACAACAGGGTCCAGAGCACGCCGGTGACAGCGATTAAGCCAATGCATTATCACCGCCTGAGATTGATAATGTCAACCTCAATGGATATTGTTATCTTCATCCTGCAATTATTTCGTATTTGTCTTAACTTTAACCTACGTAATGAGGCTGTTATTTCTACATCACACGCATTTAAACCATTTGAATCATATTACCCCCTAGATGTTTCATGCAAACCATTATTCACTGAAACCCAATGTGTACTATTCAATAACCAATTTGTCCATCTGTCTGTTTATGTTTATCTTTTTATTTTGGAATTTTACTTCTTCCAACACAAGCAAGTCCCGAACCGCATGGTTCCACTAGGCATGTAACATTCTAGATCATATAGTTATGGTTTTTCCACCACACCTTTGCCCTCTGCGGTGAATATGTGAACGGTGCGTTGGGATTTGCCGAACATGGTTGCACCATCTAATCTTGCTGAAGGACATCACATCGATAATTGGGAAACATTTTGATCCGTGGAATGTTAGCTATTGAACTATTTCAAAGGGAATGTAATATTTACATCACACCCTTTAATGCTTCAAGGACAGGGATAACTGAAGTCAGACGGTTAGTGAGTCTTCTGAACCAAATGATAAATACTGACAGTCGTACTATAGTAGTTTGAGGACTGTGGTAGGGTACACATGCTCTATGAGAGCCAGAGGGATGCCTCTACGGTGCCGAAGGTGATTCAGGTTATTAAAGGCTGTCTACGCTTCTGGCGTTATCTCTAGTATCAGCACCAAATGAGAAACTGATCTTCATTTAGACAGTCTCATAAAAGTCATCCTTTCCACCACAAGGAGCAAGCGCAGGGACTAGCTCAATCATATTGTACAGCAGTACTTTGCATTTTGGATGCGAAAAGCACATCCATTACTATCTACCTCAGTTAATTACTTTTATGCGACTAGCTCCTGTGTGAGGATACGTTGGCCTCGATTGTCAACCGGTTCAAAGCTATTTGGTCTGGTTGTGCTTTATCACCGTGTTAACTATGGAATAACTGAATAGGAATAACATTTTGACCTCATTTTTCACTGAATATTTAGCAGTATCAGCATGCGGTTATGGCCACGCAAAAGGCATCTAATGACGTAAAGAATCGGTAAAGTAGTTCAATCCTCACGCTATTAATTATTAAGCTATGGATGTATTTCGTAATAGTTTACGTTTTCTAGCTTGCTGGAGCAAACATTATGGCAAAATACTTAGCGAATCGACGCTGGGACCAGGTCCTCGAAATTGAAGCCATGAGATAACTGGTGGAGGAAACACATTTTGGTGGTTGTGATGCTTGTGAATGAAAATTGTTACACAAACTATGAAAGCATATCAAATTAAGAGAGAAACGTTCGTCGATGTCAATAATCCCAAAATTCCCCGAAGTGGCAGTATCAAGTCGGCGAATAATATCCCTATCGATGTCAATATCACTTTTCCATGAACACTGTCCGCGAAAGTTGTATTTATGTACTATAGGTTTACTTTCATTTGAATTCAATTATGAGCAATATTGATCAACAAAGTGTCTAATTTGTTCCTTGCTTTACCTGAGGATATACTTGAACGCAACTCTAAATGTCACAATTCCCACATTGTCCTATTTGAGTCGATCAGACGGATTAAGCAATGTATACAAATATTCTTTTCATCATTTCGGTTCTTCAATCAATTAGGAGCTGCCGAATTCGAAGAATAACAAACGTCATCGGTTCCTGTCCAACATGTTACTTCTCATGACCGGATCAAAGCCAAATGTGAACACCGCACTGGAGAGATTTGCCCAAATGGCACAGGAGGAAGTATGTTGTTCGTCCTTTCGTTTTATATTCAATGTCTCCGCCTTTTAACTACTGTGGAGAAACAAAATTCAGGCATTTGTCGTTGTACATGAACTTATTCGTAATTGAGACATGGTTCCGTAAACAATTTCCTTGAACTTACTCAGTTTGAATCCTTGACTGAAAAGAGACCATTTGCATCGTGATAACATGGCTCATTAGGATGTTTTCTTTTTAGGATCATTTTCGCAACAAGTGCCACAGTATATCCGAGATTCCTGAAATAATCATGTTCTAAAAGATGCAAATCGAATCGCCTGCTGAGTTTCACCTACTGTACAGCCTATTGTAACTTTTGATTACCATGGTCCATCTGCATTAGTTTAAACGTATGTGTCGACTTGGACATATGAACGTACGAATTGTTTTCGTGGTTAATATGACAGCGGTCTATACCACGTGATGCTTGTCACCTCGTTTCCGGGAAAAAATCAATAATGTCTTACGTAGTCATAAAAAGGAAAATTTGTGCATAGTTAAAAAGCAACTATGAGGAATAGTATAGCCTACTAAGAATGTCATGTAAAGTGGAATACTGTGGGAATCAGTTTTGGATTGATGACTGCATGGATTACAATACTGAGGAGAAGTGCTTCAGTAAACGGATTCTAATATTAATTAATCTGTCACAAGTAATCGTTTCACGCTTTTTTCTGATCTGTTCGGCGTTTAGCATAGGGAAAAGGTGTATTCGGTTCCAGTTTTTTGAAATTTTCTAACATGAAAGAAATGAACATTTCGTTGCTGAGTGCAACTACCTTGGCAACTTGCCCTTCCACGCGTCGTCCCATGCAGATTATTATTCCTCCTCCTACTTGTGAACCACCGTTTTTATAGTACATGATGTACTACTCTGATCCAGCCATTTTGTTTGTTATCTGCTTGCCCACAAGGCAGTACACGGACTGTTATTCGTCTTTTCTGAACTCGTACTTTTTCTTTTATATCACATCATTCCAAAATTTTCGTTGTGATCCAGGGTTTCGGAGGCCTTACGAACATGCAGCATATCAAATATCATGGGTGTTGTTTCAACATTCTCGAGGCCTTATTTTACGATCCTCTCACGGACGCGATATCGTCAGGATCAACATGAATTTCCTTTGTTTGTTTACTTGATTGTTTGCATGTGACCGACTGTCCACCATCCCTGTCATGATTACCAGCACTAATTTCTCTGCCATTCACTTACCCACTTGTCTCGCAGCATAATTTGGTTTCGCTAAACACAAAATTGGCTTGCCATTCCAGTCATCCTTATTTCTTTGTATGCCTCGTTTTCAGCCCGATAGTGGGGCAGTGATTTACGGAGCCGCTGCATGCTATGTTGTGCTTAAACAAACGCAAAAAGCACGAAATCAACTGAAGAGGCTGGCCAAGGTACCGTGGAATGTGCAGGTGAGCATACGGCACATATATTGATTTGATGAATCAAGTAACGCGAAAATAGTAATGGGATGTAGTGAAGCGAACGAGAAGATGTGGCGATGAAAGAGTTCCTCCTCCGAACCGCACAGTCACAAACCACTGGAAGTTGACCGTTAATGTTTACGCCAGCAATGGCCTCTTCGAAATATGCCTAATTATTTGTAAGGTTTTAGTGAATTCAAACAATCGTTTTTCTGCTATTAGCTTGAAATTTCACCTATCGGCTATGGCAAAAAGGCCTGGTTCTAGAGTTTGTTTAATAATGCGTAGGTCATATATACCAATCGTGATTTATTGCACGTGTCGAAGAATCAAACCACTAAAATTGCTAAGTGTATTCCGCATCCCGGTGTCATATTCGTCCGTTTAAATGAAACATGGTTTCAATCTAAAATCAAAGAAAGGATAAATATGTTTGAACTCTAATTATAAACCGTTAGACTGATTAAACAGAAACATGCAACCAAATGCAACCCACGCGCTTACTCGCGGTACGCATTTAAACCGCACCCAAGTATCAGGGCTGTTTCTCTTATGATTTAATTCGATTCAGTTCTTGTGGAGTTTGTCTCTTTTTCTCTTTTTCTGCGTTCCTTTTATGTATGTAGGAAGAAAGGAAGACTGAAATGATTGGGAATAACCGAACTATCTCAGTTTCGTCTAATGTGACTGGGTTATTTTCAGCTAGAACAAAACCTTGTGTAACTGTAATGCACATTAGTGAAAGATGCGGTAATTATTCAATATTTATTGGCGTTGTATTTTTATAAGCGTTTTGGTAGGATTTCAACAAGGTTTTTTTACCATCGAACAGCATTGCCTAAAAGTAGACTGATTTAACGGTACAACTGTGCGGAGCTGTTCGAACGGGGTGCGTTTAGAATAAAAACATAGGAATGCAGACAATTAATCTATAAGTTTTCAACTATGATTTGATACAAATCAAACTTAAAGGAGAATAAAGCATAGCCCTCTGCCTTTGTCTAAAATTACATATCAGGACAAAACAAGTCCACGGTGTTAGCGAGCGCACTGAACACAGATTTAAGCTACTGATTGTTTTTTCTTGCTTGAAAAACACATTCGCAATCATCTATTCCTAGTACCGACAATACCAGTAACACATGAGAATGTTTTCATCTCGCGAAGATATTAGTTTTTCTCTAATTTTGAATCAGTGAAAGGAGTGTTTATTATTTTCGGCTACTTTCTGATTGTGGATAAATTCAAAACGTTAGTGGCACGAATTCCTTAATTCAAAAATGTATAATACTGGGAGTGTGAACTAGACCATGAATTACGTGGTTTTGGTACAAACGAGATTTGGAAAAAATTTGTAGACACTGTCCTTAAAGAGCGAAGCAATACGAGAGTTTTTGTTAAGTTAAAAATTCAGGTTGATTTAAATAACGTGAACGAAACCAACTCAAACACAATAAATTATTCCCTTTAACAAGTCTTCGCAATATCACACTATTATTTATATAATAAGGCGTAATAGAGAATGAGGTTCTTTGACTGTCGTAAACTGAGATCACAAATTCCTCATGTTTGGATGAGATGACTGAATAACAATATCATTTTTTGTTTCATGAGACTGATTGTGATACTGTGTGTGTCATATGCGTTTGAAAGGTGAATTGTTTATTTACTGTTTATTGTCTGTGCTAATAATGGATGTGTTGTATCACGGAGTTGTTTTGAAGTATTGCTCGAAGAATAATTTCAGATGCTTACAGAATGTAAAAGCCAAGGCTCAAAGGTTAGCTTTGAAATACAAGTCACGCTTCAGGCAAATGGGCTAAGTTGAACACTACAGAAAAAAGGCAAGTAGAAGAACAGTTTTCCCTAATACGACTGTGGTGATAACGCGTTGGGCGAATAGTGAAATTGATTCAAAAGTGACTAATCCTATGGTAGGCTGAAACGAATTTGTACATTGAAGTCAAAAAATGGTGCTGTACACCGCATTGGCACACGTGCGTAGTGCAGCTAATCGTTTTGGAGTGGCAAACAAACCAATTTTATTGCTCGTGCTGATAGTGGAGTCTCGGCATTTTAACCCTTGAACCTATGTAACAAACCTAATTGACAGCGAGACCACACATGGTGTTCCTTGACTTTTGTGTGATGCCGACATGGTATTCAAAACAAAAAGAGCAAAAGATCAATGGTATATTGATGAAACCCAAAACCATGCTGATGATCTCTTAGGAAAGCTTACTTGCCAGGCTTTGTCAATGTAGGTCATCAATGACAAACTCCGTAACCTATGAACTGACTGATGTGAGCAAGATGTGGTTTGGGGGTATCAATGTTTGTGAATGGAATACATCACGGCGGTTTCTCAGCTTATCGATAGTACATGCGGGGTACTCTGTCGATGAAATGCTGCTTGTACTGAAGAAAAAGGTTGTATTTTGGGCGACCGGGGTGAGATTCGAAAACCATATCTGGGTCAAAGCTGTACTGACCTGTAAAAGCGCTTCCCTTAATGAAAATTAAAAAAACGCTAGGAATGGTGTTTTTTAAGAATAGAAGGTGGAATCACATTAGGTTGAACTTTATAATGCATGTTATCCAATAACAGTATCTGATATCAGTAGAAATGTATGCATTAACAACGTGGTAAATTTCAGTCTGTTAATAAATGAGTGGGACAGGTAATTGGGATAGAGTTATAAGTTGCCTGAAGGGCAGTGCCATTGGTGTTTTCATGCCAAATGCATTCCACGTCAGGAAATTTGTTTATGATTGATGAAAGCTGCAAGAACAAGTAGGAGGAAACATCTTTCACTCAGCCGAAAATCCTTGCACTTTGTAAACTGCCAAGAGCGCAAATAATCCGGACAACAGTCGTTTACCTGTTCTGAAATAATTGAGTTTTAGTTACTTTTTTGCGAGTTCATTATTGATATTGTGTCTCAAAGGAAACCAAAAATAAACTCACGTGTATGTATTTCCCAACTGGCGTCACGTTTACTGGAGGTAAAATCAACTTTACTCGTTGTTTGCTATGGGTCATCCAGCTGAACAAAACCTTCGTCTGCGTGATGTGTTTCATGCTTGTAGTGACATCGAGTGGTGATTGAATTTCGCAATCTAGTGTCACTTGTTTCCACGTGCATCGCGAAAATTAGAACCGTAATTAGGGTCTGTAAATACCTTCTTTCTCCCTGACCCCTCTCTACCACCACCCAATTGTATCCTCTCGTTTCAATCGGTCCATTTTTAGTTTTTCATTGGCGACTCCCATTGTAACACTAACAGAACAACACGGGTAACGATCAAGCCGGTTCTCGATAACCTCTTTCTTTGGCTAAAACGTCTAGGTAAATTAATCGAGCTGATGTGCAACAAGTAGCGTTAGAATGAATGTGCACTGACTAATGCCACACTTCTTACAAATCTAGACATGAACTTCCCGTCTAGACTGGATGCTAATTTGGATTTGATCTTTATTAACTGTAAACAGTTGTTTGTTGTGAAAAATGATACCACTTAATAATTTGGACCATGGTATGCTGAAAATTTCCCCAATGATCTACGGCGGAACCAAACCGATTAGCTGTGTAAGCATCTCATGAATCTACATGAGACGGAACTGTTTGTGATAAACAACAAAGAGTACTGGGCAGCTGTTTCGTCCTTTTTGGGACTCGTCAGCAGTGCGTACGTTTTGGCCCTGTCACGACTCGAACCGCGATTCTTCGGGAACATGATCAACAGTGCCTTGTGCATGTGGAAAACCGATTGGGCTAATCCAAAAATTCACCATGTAAACATCTCGTGAATCACAGAAATGTTTGTTTCGACCAGTGTTGTTCATTTGAAACTATACACTTGCAAACAGACAGATTTTCCTCAGCCCACTTCAAACAGCTGTGAAATCAGAAATAACTTCCATGCAAACTGGGATACAAACCTAAAGTACGACATCTTTCCGTGCAAAGTAAGTCGGAAGTCCAGAAATTCAACAGAGTAGAGCATACACTGATTCTGTCCTGGGAAGCGCGAATTGCCGTGACATGTGGCGCGTTATTACTAGCTTATGTGGTTTTATCCCGAACAACAATGCTCAAAAACTGGATGTTAAAAAGCTTTATGTTGGATTTAGTTCCCCTCCTCAATATATTCCGTACCATATTTTATCATTAATTGTTCATTATCGATTGCACAGTTCCGTGTTCACACACAGCTAAGGGCAACAGAGGCCAGCATGGCTGATGGTCCTAACCATCTGTCTCCTGTTATACTCTACGAACGTGCTAATTCACTTATGGTTCCTATAGTCGATATTTTTCATCATTGTTTGTCCAGTGGTAATATTCCTGACATTTGGAAACCCATTCGACGTAAGGCACGTGTCTAGAAAATATCGCCCCATAGTCTGTATTGGTCTGGAGTTAAAGGGGTTTGCGAGACCTCTGCTTCCGAAGATTGTTTCTGATAGATAAAAGATGCCATTTCACGTAAAGACAATCGCGCTCCATACTGGATGGCATCGTATATTTGATGCACACTGTAGTCCAGGTATCCATGTTGAGTGAATCTTCAGTCTTTTACATGGTTATTACTGTGAACATTCTGAATAAAAATTATGTTGAATAATAGTCATGGAAGGTAAAACTAGTTAGAAAAGTAAACGGGCACGACGATCATTGGTTAATTGCGGGGTGAAAAGAACACGCGATAAATATAGATGAGTATAATTGCAGCATCAAGAAGTATGGGAACAAAAAACGTCAAAACTACCTCATGTGGAGGATGTGGATGAGGCTTGCGTTAAGTTTATTACTACCGTGTCTGACTTTCTAAAGTGGCGTTTTTGGAGGGTTTTAAAATATTTTGAGGGCACTTTGTAGAAGTTTTTTAACGCACCTTTATTGGCATGGTGTCCGGTAATCACTAGATGCACTGTGGTCGCACTCAAAATAGTTCACGTTGTTTCCGTGTTTATGTTTCTTGACTGTTTGGGAAAACTATCTGATCGTCTTGCTCATTTATTTAGCAGAACATGAAAAAAGTAAAGCACAGTTCAACGTAGAGGGAGCGAGGATTCGCAGTTCATCTTTAATGTTCACTAACAGCGTGGATCGGCTGGTAAAATGCGTACGTAAACAAGCCGCGAGTAAAGTTTGGGCTATCATCTTATCAAGGCATCTGGTTAATAAATCAAAATTGTAGTCACCTCTGAAACCGAAAAAAATGGACAGTTGTTTTTGGCTTACTATTATCTCAATTGTTCTTTGTGTTCTTTAATACAGATTACTTTACATTAATCTCTCAAGACAATGATTGCGAAATAGTATGTCTTTGTGCAAAATATATACTTCTAACACGAGTTTCTATGACTCCGATGAGGTTCCGTTTACACCTCAAAGGCACACACCTGGCGACGTGAGTGTACTGATTTCTCCATGTGGATTTTCTGTGGGTTTATATAGCAAGTGCTCAATCAAGGAGCTTGTTAAGAGTCATATAGAAAAAATGGAATTTCTTGGCCACTTTCATTTCCGGCGTAAAATGAAGCGCATCGCGATTTCGGTTGAACGTGGTTATCGGTATATCAAACGATGTTTTGCTTGAAGTAACACCAAATATTTGTCAGCGTAGCGAAAATGAAACGGTTAACCCTCTTATTTTCCCAAATGGGTTCCAGAGGCAATCCCATGGGAACTTCTTCTATTTTCCTGCACAGTTTCCCGTTGAAACTAAAATGAACATTTTGGGTACAGTGTAGTGATAAATTGTTTAAACTAGCCAATGGAACACCAAATTTTGTCCCTCTTTTATGGTTTATAATTTATTGTTTCCCGCAAGGAATTATGTTACATTGGATTTTACCATGAATAGTCCATTCATACATCTTTTTCGTATACATTCCACAAGTTGGAATATATTCCTAGAACTGTATTCAAAACGTTTCTACGAACGGGTTCTTAAACTTCCAAAGACCCTTTTGCGGCAATTTGCTTTCTAGTTTGTTTCGTTAATTCGACTTTTTTCACCCTAAAATTAATGAAAAAATCCTTTTTTGGCATAGTTTTTTAAACTTTAAATGGAATATTTTGAGATGTTTACTGAATAGTCTTGATTCAACCAAAAACTGTTGATTGCTCCTCAGGAAGCTGAAGAGTTGGAGAAAGCCTGGCTTTTGCTCGCGGACATTTACATTCAAAGCGGGAAAACAGATATGAGCCAAGAATTATTGAAACGATGCCTACAGTACAACAAAGTGAGTTTCATTTTCATGTTCAGTGAACCGCAGTTGAATGCATTTGTTATAGCGTTTTACCACCACTCTAAGGTGGTTTTCAGTTCACCAGTGTTCCCTGTTTACATATAATGGAACCCATTTACCCAACCACCGCATCTCTTCATTTGTGATTAGTGGTTTTGAATAAATGCCTTGTTTCAGAATGAAATTTTGAAGCTGATGTATCACTCCACAAGGGGCTCTAATATGAATTACCTGAATTACTGGATGCAATGAAAGGCTGCATGGAGTATGGACATTTTGAAAGAAGTTCATGGATTTTATTATTACTTTGGTCAGGTTTATGTTCTGCAAACCTAATTGATTACAATATCCAACTCACCGTATATACTGTTATGGTCCCTGGATCTGTACATTCTGAAATAAGTCATTCAACATAATAAAAGCACCCGCACCAGAGTAACGGACATCATCATCTTGGTCCATCCACACTTACGCAGTT